GTCAAACCGTGACGTCACCTGATATGCCAGCTTGCAGCTGACCATAACAATAGTCAAAACATGAGGAAAGTCAAGGTGTGTGGCTGTTGATTAGTGGTGTGTATCTAAGAACAATTTGACATGACATTTCACATTAAGAAAATATTATGATTAGCATTACAGTTAATAATAACAATCATCCCTGCCTGCAGCCTTTGTCTGATTTAATTAACCTTGGCCTAGATGCAGTCTGCAAGCACATCAGAATAACTAAGCATTTAACAGCCTGAGCTAGACATCCTGGCTACACTAAACATTTCTAGACAACAAATCTCTAAATATCTATCTGACTAAGAAATTACCTAACATTGTCATCCACAGAGTTGATATGCTTAGTGAAAGCCTCTACCTCCTGGGTCCTGATTTTAACCCATGTGGTTGGGAGTGGTACCAATCAAGGAAGACAGGGCTTTGTCCTCAAATTCTTCCATGTACAGGTTGGCAACAAAAGGAGACACCGGGGAGCCCATAGCACAGCTGTGTTGCTGCCTATAGGAGTGCCTCCTAAGCATCTTCGACCTAAAAACCTGGTCCAGTTGATTTTTCTAAGTTTTTTCAGCTTACTATGACCTGGATGACTGAGAATCTGCACGGACATCTCAGTACATTCCAGAGTTCTGAAATGCAAAAAATGTCCAACATTAGGGCAATACGCCCTAGCTAAACTAAGCAACGAATCATTTCTCCTGCATCATATATTGTAGGCTATTGAGCATAACCTTGTTCCAAGCATTCTTTGAAGTTATATCATGTTAACACTGGGTGAAATAAACAAGTCCAATACTCTTTCTTTTAAGGCATCGCACCTCAAAATTAAACCAACATGATGTCTGCTTTGCACTCAAATCTTCATCCTAAAATCTAAGAAGATACTTTGCTCGTTTTTACAAGATACTTTCAGATTAAAACATTTTTCACATTATTATGACATACTGTGTTGTTTATTTTTAAGGACATACTGTAGGCTATTTTGTGAATATAACAACATACTGTATTTTCTCATAATAACATGAGCCCTGCACAGCCTGGAGTGAGTCCAGTGCACACATTGTCTTTGAACAGCACCTCCGTAGCTCATTCAGTTTAGATGGCTGTCTCTCAACACCTTCTCATGCCTACTTTTCACACAATGATCAATGTCTCTGACCCATTAAATTAAAGGAAACCAAACAGAATGCAAGAAGGAGCACAGTTTGGAGATGTAGAGAGCGACAAACAGTACAGTTGCCTGCCAGAGGCTGGAGATAAATCATTCGTATTTAAATGAAGCGGTCATGGCACTTCACACTTCTCATATGAGGCCATCTCCATGGTTATTCAACCCCCCCGTTCCTACACCCATCTATAGAGGTGTAGAGTTGTTCATTTTGGGAATTCACCATGACAAAAATCACCCATGATTTGCCGTCAGTACAGAAACACAGCAACAGGGCCATGCACAGACATTTTGGAGGGCAGATGCTCAAGTTTAGAAAAAGGCACCCCTCTGCCTTGACCGGTTGGTGTGGGTGG